AAGATGATGTTATGAAATTTTCTGCTTAGTGACAGCATTCAGATCGAGTGGGAAGGGACGTGTCATGAGAACGGACTAACGCCAATAAAAACGGGACAGGTACAGCATCCCGCTGCTCATTGCCACCAGTTCTATGTGTCGCAATCAGCACTTCGCAGCTTTCCTAAGATGATGTTATGAAATTTTCTGCTTAGTGACAGCATTCAGATCGAGTGGGAAGGGACGTGTCATGAGAACGGACTAACGCCAATAAAAACGGGACAGGTACAGCATCCCGCTGCTCATTGCCACCAGTTCTATGTGTCGCAATCAGCACTTCGCAGCTTTCCTAAGATGATGTTATGAAATTTTCTGCTTAGTGACAGCATTTTGAACAAGTGCGAAGGGACGTGTCATGAGAACGGAATAACGCCAATAAACGTGACAGATATCGCATCCCGCTGCTCATTGCCACCAGTTCTATGTGTCGCAATCAGCACTTCGCAGCTTTCCTAAGATGATGTTATGAAATTTTCTGCTTAGTGACAGCATTTAGATCGAGTGCGAAGGGCTGCACAGGCGCGTGGGTTTAAAGAAAAGTGCCATCAGGGCTGCAGGCGAGCGCTTCAAGGAAGTAGTTGGCGGTGCTAGCACCCAACCTGCTCGCCCATACAGGCTGATTGAGCGCTCGGACAAAATTCCTAAGGGGGTCGTGGAGGAGATTGCGTGTTTTTGGTACAACAACAGTGTACTCAGTCCACTCGCGAGGGGCAGTGTAAAGATTCCGGGTATTGTTGCCTTGTACTTTCCACGGAGGATAGTCCAAAAAACGTATCGTCAGCTGTACTTGGATTTCCTGCATCAGCACAGCACCGCCTTCCACGTGTCGTTTGGCTTCTTCGTGGGAGCAAAGCCTGGGTACGTCAAACCTTTTAGGATAAGAGGAATTGTAATGTTGTTTCAGCTTCTGGACTGATGTTACATCCATGAAGCTAAAATGACTGATCGCAGGCAGTGTTTGTTTTCGTTTAGGGCTGGTCCCTTTTTATTACTCATCAAGTAATAGATTTTCAGGGTGTTGTGTGATTCATTACTTAGCTGTAAGGCACTGGGGGCCTCCGCCCCCTCCAGAACCCCCGATAAGTTGCAAGTCCCCTCACAAACTCAGAGCCACGCGCAGATTGGGCCTGCCGCTCGTATGGGTAGTTTTACAGGTATGGGGCCACGCACCCCCCAACCATGTAACACACACACACACGCGCGCGCGCGCGCAGATGGTGCGGTTCTCAGTGTCATTCATTCCTGCGGGAGATAGCGTGTGTGTCCAATTCCAGATGGGAATAATGGTCAGCCCCGGTGCATGGGCATGCAATGTTGTACTGCTCGTTGATACGCGGCGCATACCATGTGGGGCAGGACAGTGCTACTTATCCGTTTGCGCGTTGCTCCACGAGTTAGTATTCAGGTTCAAGCCTTTTGCCCTTTCCATTTTGTTGTGGCCTTGTGTGCTCCGCATGTGCGGCATGTTTTGCAGGCGCTCTCTTGCACAGCAGATGCAACGGACCAGATAACATCTCCGTACAGATGCCGTCCAAATCTGTTGGCTTTGCTGTGCTACACAATACAATGTTCTTCCTTGCTTCGCTTTGAGTTGGGGTGCTGTGTCACCGCAGATGTACGGTGCTGGGTTTCTGTTCAGCATTTGCTAACAGCAGTAAGTTTTTTGATATACGGTTATATGGTGATGATCGTGAGCACGTCCCCCAAGACGTTTTGTGGGGGGTGTCATGGGTATAAGGAGCAGGTCGAACGTGAGGGGCCCTACTCGCGCTCTGGCACGCGGCTGCACACGCACACGCACACGCACGTGCGAATACCGTTGGTCGGGTCACAGAGCGAAATTGCAGTGCCTTTGTAACAACAATATCTTGTTTCCATGCCGCGTTCAACAAAGTTCAGCTGCGGGCCTCGCAACTTCCCGCGGTCCGAACGCATTTCATAAAAAGACGTTGGCCGTTGCACCAAAATAATTTTAATATTACCCAGGATTATGTAGACCTCAAATCCAATGCAGTTTTGCTACATGCGGCATGCTCGGGTGCTTCATGTTTGACCACAGGCCGCGTCACAGAACTGCAAGAATACGGCCCGCCTGCAGGACCGAATGCACTGCAATATTATAGAATTATAAACCCTTCAAAATCATGCAAACAGATTTTCAAAATACTACTCCATCATGGAAATCGCCTCCTCCTAGTAATAGGCTAATAGGGCCGGTCATCCGTGAACAGAACCAGACGGAGCATTACAGGGTATTTCCACTAGGCCGCACACAAACTTTTTGAAAGGGAACCAGGCCTCTCCTAACAACTGGGAAGTGCAAGCTGACTTTACTGGCCGATATACTTGTGTAGGCACAGAAGATCGGGCTTTTCAATTTCAACTTAGACTTACAATGTTCATAAAATGGTCCGCTTAAATAGTCATATTAGCGCGCCATAACCTCACACGTAGAACCACACGATCAAGCTCCACTAGCTCCGAAGTTACGACATGGCCTCAGAAGCGCGCGCTAACGAACTGCAAAACATTACACACTCCCCTCCTTAAAAACAAGCACCGTCCTCGGTGCGAAAACGTCACTAAGCGGCCATAGTCATGCGCCTCTCCGATTCCCTGAACGAAATCGGTACCAGGCTAACGAGGGGAAGGCAAAAGGGAACCGGAGTCAAGGCAAAACCTTCCCCGCACTGGATACCGGCCTAAAATGTGGCGCACGACTCCTACCATATCCGGCTTAAGAATCCGGAGACATACAAAAGCTGCTACGAAAACGACTTAAATCTGACTACACGGAACCCAAATACCCAGACGCGAACAAACACGTGAAATGCAATACCACACTGATGTTGAACTGACTGGTGTAATCTACTGACATGAACAGAACGAAGACGCACAGACATACCGAATACACATGATGACACACACACACATCCAGCTGTAGCTCTATTCTGTTAAGAACTGTACGATCTGTGGGGCATGCTCCGGGAACTTGGCTCTGAACCACGCATAGCGATCTGATAGCTTGAACGCGGTCCAGCTTGGGCTCCTCAGGAATGCACGAAGCGCTGGCAGGTTGTGCACGTCGTCATATGGTTCCCATGAGGGGTCGCGTTTACTACTTGCGGACCACTGCACGAGGAACATGACGGACGGGCGTGCACGCTTGTTATACCCTAGGCGAACAGCTGTAACAACGGTATCTGCACTGTCATATGGGGATTCTAGTGCAGTAGGAGCTGCAGGTGGAGGTGGTGGGCGGCCGGGGAAGAGCGCTGGGTCGTTGTCCGTCCATGGGAGAAGGCGGCTGATGTGGAATACTGGATGCAAGCGGCCGAGGGAGGCTGGAAGGTGAAGGCGGTATGCAACTGGAGAAATGACGGAGGAGATGAGGAAAGGGCCGAGGTAGCGAGGGCGGAGTTTTGGGGAGGGGTAGGTCGGCAGGGTGAGGTGTTCTGTGGACAGTCGGACGCGATTGCCAACTTTGAAGGTGATGGCGCGGCGATGCTGGTTAGCTGCGGCGGTGTAGCGGGTTTTGGCGGCTTGGATTTCGCGGTTGATGGTGGCATGGATGTCACTCATACGCTGCTGTAGTTCTGTAGCCTGCAGGTGAGAGGAAGGTGAAGCGGCTTGGGGGCCGTAGAGAGAGATGGGAGTGCACGGGTGGTAACCGTGATTGGCGTAGAATGGTGTCATGCCGGTGCTTGCGTGGGTGGCGTTGTTGTATGCTGCTTCAGTGATCGGAAGGTATGATGCCCAGTTGTCCTGCATAGGTTGGATGTAAGCACGGAGGATCTGTTCAATAGTGTGATGTGTTCTCTCGGTTTGACCGTCAGTTTGTGGATGGTAGGCGGAGGAGATGTTAAGGGACGTGCCAAGGTGCTCCCAGGAGGTGCGCCAGACGTCGGACATGAAGCAGGAATCTTGGTCGGAGACGAGGGTTGTTGGAAGACCGTGTAGACGGTAGACGTGGGTGATGAAGAGTAGGGCGGTGTCGTGGGCGGTGGTGGTCTTGTTAGTGAGTGCAAAGTGGGCTTGTTTGGTGAACATATTGACGAAGGTGAGGATTGCGGTGTAGGTGCGGCCGTCCAAACCTTTAGAGGGCGGCAGGTCGGTGATGAAGTCCAGGGACACGTGTGTCCAGGGTTGGGTGGGGGTGGGTAGCGGGTGGAGGAGGCCAGGCGGAGGCTGGGTGGATGGCTTGGTGCGTTGACAGATGGGGCAGGACTTGACGTAGGCTTTGACGGTGCGGCCCATGTAAGGCCACCAGTAGCGGGTTGATATCACGGCGAGGGTGCGACGGAAACCAGGATGACCAGAGTAGGCAGCATCGTGGAATTCGTGAAGTAGGCGGTGGCGTAAGGATGGGACGTTAGGGATGGCGATGCGGTTGGCGAAGTAGAAGAAACCGTCTGGGGAACGTTGTAGGTAAGGCTTGGTGGTTGTTGAATTGGAGTACATGGGGTCGGCGGTGTATCCGAAACGGATGTCATCTGCGAGGCTGGGGTCTGGCATGACATGGGCTGCGATGGTGAAACAGGCATGATGAAGGGCATGGTTGGCTGCGACGTCGACAGGTGGTGAAGTGGAGGGCCAAAGCGGGGAAAGTGATGGAGATGTAATGGAGGTTAGGTTTTCTGCCGATGTAGCGGAAAGTGAGGGACTGGGGTCAGAGGGCTCTGGGTTAGGGGCTGGGCTGACCGGGAAGCGGGAGAGGGCGTCGGCCATGTTTTGAGGGCCGGGGCGATAAGTGATTGTGATGTAGCCTTGGAATGGGGCGAGGAGCTGAGCCCAACGGGCTTGATGACGAGACAGGTCCTTTTGTGTGAAGAAGCGTTGCAAGGTGTCGTGGTCTGTGCAGAGCGTGAAGTGGCAGCCTTCGAGATAGCACCGAAACTTATGCACTGCGTGTACGACAGCAAGCAACTCCAGCTCGTGGATGGGGTAGTTGGCTTCGTGACGGCTGAGCTTGCGGGACTCGAACACCACGGGATGTAGGGCGCCGTTGTGTTCCTGAAGGAGCACAGCGCCAATGCCGAGGATGGAGGCGTCGGTATATAGGGTGAAGGTGGCGTTGGTGCCTGTGTCTGGGATGATGAGGGCTGGGGCTGACATTAGGGTGTCGCGGAGAGCATGGAAGGCAGTGACGGCGTCGGCGGGTAGGGTCTTGGGGAAGGGCTGGGTTGTTTTGGTGAGGGTGGTAAGAGGAAGGGCGATGTGGGCGTAGTCTTTAATGAAGCGGCGGTAAAACCCAGTGAAGCCTAGGAAGGCGCGAACGTCGGTGATGGAGGAAGGAATGGGGAAATTGGCAAGGGCGGTGAGCTTGTCAGGGTCTGTCGTGATGCCGTCGTGGGAGATGATGAATCCGCAGAACTTGGTGGAGGCTTGCGCGAAAGAGCACTTGGAAAGGCGGACATGGAGGTGGTGGTCTTGAAGTGTGCGTAGTACGGCTTCCACGTCGCGGCAATGGTCTTCAAAGGTGCGGGAGTAGATGAGGATGTCGTCTAGGTACACGACCGCGCACTTGTTGCGGAAGGGGCGGAGGACATTCATGAGGGACATGAAGGTGGCGGGGGCTCCTGTAAGGCCGAAGGGAAGAACAAGCCATTCGTATAGACCATACTTACACCGAAAAGCCGTTTATGCACATCGGGTTCTTGCACTTGATGGTAGCCTGACCAGAGGTCCAGCTTGGTGAAATAGGCTGCACCGTGCAGCTGGTCAAGGAGCTCGTCCATGCGTGGCAGGGGATACGCATTCTTGACTGTGAGCTGGTTGATTGCACGAAAGTCCACACAGAGGCGTAGACCGTTACCACCCGGTTTACAGGCGAACAGAATAGGGGCACCAAAGGGTGACGTCGACAGGCAAATCCAGCCACGGTCAAGGTAGTTCT